ATCAGGTTAGTTTCCCATCATTTCCTCTAGGATTGTGTGTGCGGGTGTTACTCAGTAGTTATTAGTCGAGGACGTTGGATCATGAATCTGGATCGTTCTAGTCACTTTAACCATAATGTCCTGGCTAAGTGCATCTTGTCTCATGTGTAGCGCTCTCTTTTCAATGGGTTGAAACCCTGATCTTTGATAGATTTTTGGTGCGTTATATAAAAGGTGATATCTTCTCCCACACAGTACTAATTCATCATGGGTCAGAACCCTTTTAACCACAGGACACTGGGGAAGCTTCACAATGAAAAGGTTTTAATAGATTTACTACGATGGAATATTATATTAATACAAAAAAGGACTATTTCCTGTCTGTCTGTTCTTCCTCTTCTTAGTTCACACTATTAGTCATCTAACCACAGTGAAAAAATACTTTGAGTTTTTTTTTTACTTCTCTAAAAGTGTGTGTGTACGTGCGTAGGCTCATGTGTCATCAGTGAGTCATTTATTCTTTGTAAATCCTAGAATTTCCCTCATGCTACACTACAAGCAAGTATAATGCTTGTTAAGAGTGAATTGTGAGACAAGATTTAAAACTTAAATATGTGTGTATATATAAGAGAAAAATGAAACTACTTCAACATCTGGCTTCTGTTATGCAACTTCACTCCTCCCCCTGTTCCTCACTCGGCAGTTCCCTCTCCTAAATGCCGACTGAATACAAGTGCAGGCTGGCACGCAGCTCTGAAAGGGATGCATGAGTAAGTAGAAGGAACAGACTCCATTTTTAGATACAGAGATTTGAGCTGAGGACACAGACAAATGGACCTGCCTCATATTCCGTCCTCTTCATGCCCAAATTAAACCATTAATGGTCAATGCATGCATGATCTCTCCACTTTGTTTGTTTATTTGTAAGATAAAAGATAAAGTAAGATAAGATAAGATAAGATAATCCTTTATTAACCTCACAGTGGAGAAATTTGCTCCATTTCAGCAGCAAAGAGGACAATCAAAAACAGACATGAGTAAAACTAATAAGTAAACATTCAATATAAATAAAAGGAAATATAAAAATATAAATAGAATGTAAACAGAACTGTGAGCAGAGTATATACCGTGTGACCAATTGCACATTATTATATTCAGTATTGTTTGTTTTTAAGCAAAATTACACTGAAACTACTGGAGAGATTACCATGAAACAGTGGAAGGATGTTTTATGTGTCAGAGAAGGAATCTTGTCATAGATCCAGATCAGAGGACGAATCCAGACAAAAGGATGTAGTCTGGGTCTGGATCAAACTGAACCATGGTTCAGTTCAACACTTATCACTTACTAACCATAGAAGAAAATTACTAGTGTGGAGTACTGTACCTGAAAGTGCTGACCACTTTATTAATTTTCTACCTTCAAACAGAAATACTACTATCTGCCCAACTGACAACACACGGACGTCAGACGCAGCTGTAACGATGCTGTGCAACGATGTGTGCCAGCTGTAGTAACATAAAATTCTGGCGCGTGCTATTATGCACGGAAACGGGACCAGCGAGTATAAACTACCATTGATACCCTCCCAAGCCGCTGGTACTTTTCAGACGTGTCCCTACCTGCCCTGTATAGCTGCTTTTCGACATGCACTAAAGTCAGCAGAAACTGCAGAGCTTAGACATTTGGGTTCACACCTGCACCTCGAAGGATCTGTGGAGTTCAGGGCATGTTTGAAAGCAGCTTGAGGGACATGAAGGGCATGTGGGGAAGACAGCGAGAGAGTGAAAGGAGAGTGAAAAGGCTTCTGTTTGTTTTGGGTTTGCTTCAGTGAAGGGTGAAAAAGGAGTAGATGGAGATAAGAGCTACACAAGAAGAAGCGGTCATGGTCATGCTCAAGCTCAAGCACCTGCACAAGAAACATTCTTAAAATAGTAAAGTTACACGACATAACTGTCAACAAACCCTCATTGAGAAACCAAGTTTCATTCAAACAAAACTTTCCCAGTTCTCCTTCAAGGTAACAAGACCTACAACTAAACCCCACCTGAGTAACTATTTGACAATGAGCAGAAGTTCAGTCTACACGAAAAACAAATCCCTCTTTCTGTTCTCTGAGTTTGTTTTATTGTCAGATTCACATCATAAACACATTCTCGTGAGACCAGACGTCCCATGAAACTATGTCTGTAAAGGCCAGCTTTAGATGTGTTCCTCATGACAGGTGTAATACACACATTTAACAGACTGGGAATCTGCAAATATTAGCTACTAAGAGCGATCTGAGTGTAGACAACTCTCCTCAGACATTTAGACTGTTTTCATAAAACCAGCTCTTCACCCCCAGTAACTTGGCAGAGCTCCAACAGTTCTGCAAAGAGGAGTGAAGGGAAAATCCATCTGTTAAACTGATATTAAAGTTAAACATCTGCTTCAGTCATTTTTCAGGAAGAAAAATACACACTCGCATTTTTTGTATCAAATTTTAAAATACTTTTGCAGTTTGTGATGATGAGACCAAACAAGCAATTTCAGGACTCTATCTTTGGCTTCATTATATGGTGATGGAATTTTCAATATTTTCTAACATTTTCTAGAAAAAGTAATTTATTAATTAAGAAAAGAGTGGGTTCTTATTTTTACTTGCAGCCGTAAAGCAATAAAACAACTCTTGATCAACCATGAATGTTGTACTGGTCCTTCGAGTGAAAGTGCTGTAAGCTAGAGAAACAAAATGGTTTGTGAAAGCTCCCAGTCATCAGTGATAAGTACAGTGGTGTGAGGGGTGATGAGCTACGAACTGGTGTTTTGAGACGTTCTGAAACACAAGGTCTGATCCAGAGGTTCCACCTCACAACTTACAACTTGACGTAAAAGATCTGTTGTTTACTTACTGCTGCCAAATTCCACAGGGCAATGTAAGAGCTCTGGTTGAGTCCATGTCTCTGCAGGGGGCGTGATTACATATACTCTATAACTGGAATGTTAACGTGCATCAATTCACTTGTTTGTGAGTGGCCAGTGAGAAACTGCTGTGTGTTTATACTTTGCAAGATTACACTGTTTATCTCTCATTACTCTACACCGAGAGTTCACTACTTTCAAAAAACATTTTGCAAAAATATAATTTAGTATAAAAGCCCACCGGGATGAGACACATAAACAGAGTCCATGTTCCAAAGAAAATGAACGGAAGAGAAATGTTACTCATCAGCAAAACAACATCAACAACAACAGTCTGGTTGAGTTTAGACTTTAAATCAACTTCTATAAATAAAACACTTGAACTAACCCAATTAGCCTCAACTAAAGCACATTAAACAGACTGAGTCTCAGTGAATTCAGAGACAATGCAAACATTCACCATAAGTTTGTTGACCTTCTGGGTAACTTGACAACACTAGGGAAGACGCCCCCCCAATAGAACAACTGATTTACTGCTATGTTTGCATGTAACATTAAAAATCTGGACAAAGTGGCTAAAAGAATAATGAGCTTGGTGAACATGGTGGCTTGGTACCCAAGTGAACTAGAGGGGCACTCACAGAGCATACACCTCTGCCAAGGCAATGCCATATCTTCCCACATAAGAGACAGTAAAAAAAAATAATCCTGGATCGTTTATCTAGATCGATTGCAAAATGTATTGAGTTCTTCTTGGGTCTTGTCCCAGCCCCCCCGTCAGCAATTAATGTGAATCTTTTAAATATTAATAATTAATTCTACTAACGAACTATTGCAGATGAAAACAGAACCTTCATGTTGGAGGTGATCAGCGGCACCAACTGGCATCACAAGGGTAAATTTAATGGACAAAAATCTGTCACAGTGACAGAACTTTCATTGCTGTGTAGAAAAGCCCAAGAGATGTGGATGTTTGGGGTATCAATACTGATATTAGGGATTTAGACAATTCTTAATGATACATAAATAAACCTACATTTCAATGTAAAAATAAACCCTAACCCATAATTGCATTTTTTAGTATTGGTCCATAGCCAATACCATTAAATGTATAAATGACTCAAATGAGCAGATTTTTAATCTTTACGGGTAAATGAGTCAGGCTCTTCTGTGTTGTTTGTTAAATGTGCTTATTGTATCTACGTGTCTGCACCTCTTATGATCAGTTACTCTGAAGAGCAGAAACCTCTTTGCACAGTTTGAAAACGTGTCTGCTGTTTGCAACATTAAATACAATGATGGATTTTGCTGCTTCTCATCAGAAAAATATCAATAAATAAAGAGTGACATGTTTGTTCTCTGTAACACTAAACAAACAATTAACCAAACTCACACACGCCACTCACCTCCACCATACATGACAGCCAGCATGATGGACGAGATCCAGGACACCTGACTTGGTGTGGCATCGAAGATGACCTCTATCTCTTTGAAGAACACTGTGATGGATTTGGGGAAGGCATAGGAAAAGCCAATGGAGATGAAGGCTCCCACCACCACCGCCCAGCCCCAGCCACCTTCAGGGGGGGTGTACCCCACAGGACCACCAACCGCAGAGGGCATGTCTGCTCGCAAGGAAGACGAAGATGATGAAGATGAAGAAGTTGAATGTGACTGTCGGAGGACAGCTGAGGTTCAGAGGATTAGAGAAGGTTGAACAAGCTGAACTGGGATCAGCATACAAAAACCTGTGGGGGGGACAGAGCACAGAGCTGGTTAAAATCAACACAGATGGTCAGTGAGAGAGATAAGGGCATACTATTGCAGGTCTTGGCATTTTCACTGCCTGTAAAAGGAAATATGTAGAAAAGTGGGATGTGTAAGGAATGAGGGAAGGTGGAGAAGACCGACACAGAAAAATATGCAAGGACAAATCTAATCTTTGAAGACACTGTAAAACTTATTTCCACTAAACTTGGTGGAAGGTTTTGACCTGGGCCAAGAAAGAACTTGTGAGGACTACTACTATGGTTTTTAAATGGCTGCTGAAACTGCAGCTATGGATGTTCCACACGGTCTAGATCCATTGTTTCTGTGCAAACAAATGAGTTGGAGAAACAAAAACAAAACCACAACATTCCAGTTAAAGTTGAAAAATTGAACAACCATCTCAATATTTCCTGTTGAAAAGTGTGCATTTTCTAAAAGGTATCATTCAAAGGCTGCTTCCAGACATGCACTGGTTGTCTGCACTTTCTTGGGAGGAGGTGAACATAAAGTGAGAGCCTCCAAATTATATACAGACTTTGTCCACCTGTCCCTCTAGTACAAAGTCAGCAGAAGGTGTGCAGTATCCGATGTGAGAGCACAGCAGGGGATCCCCGCTTAATTCATCGCAAGCAAGTAGATTGATGACACAGATGAAGATGTCAGGAGAGTTTGTGATGATTTGGGCTGACGACAATATCATGTGATCTCAGCAGATAAATTAATACATCACTTCCTTCCTCTAACTCTCACCTGAATAAGGAGGATTTAATGCTGTTGAGAACGAGTCTGTGCAGAAAACCTTCTGCTTTGCTGATCATGTGTGGAAGGCAAACTAAGGCTAAGGTTCTTTGGAATTTATCCACAAGTCATGTCTGAAAATGGCTTAAAGGTACATTGTGTAGAATTTAGTGACATCTAGTGTTGAAGTGTCATGTTGCAGCTGAACACCCCTCATCCCACCCTCTCCTTCCAAACAGGAAAAATAACCTGTGGTAGCCTTTAATTGTCATAAAACTCAAAAAGTGTTTAGTTTGTCCAGCCGGGACTAATGTAAAAAACATGGCTGCCTCTGTAGAGAGGACCCCTTCGATGTAAATATACAGTATTTAAATATAAAGGGCCTTTTCTGGGGTAA